AATACTGGTGCGTCATCTTCGCCCGCCGATACGGTTAACTGATCTGCGGGTTGAGGCGCTCGACGAAGTTGGCCATGGGCAACTTTTCTTGGACGTCTTCTACCCACCACCTTTTGGACTAGGTAGCGATCGTTTTCTAGAATCCGTGTTATCTCGTATGGCTCGCTGAACTTTAAATCCAACGAAGTTTGGTTACGAGGATTATTTTTAATGAGGACATAGTCGCCACGCTGAAAATGATTAATCTTCGCTTTCCTTGAATCAAAGCGTTTCTTGTCCTGTTCTGCGTTTTGTGTAATCTTTTGATGAACATGATTAGTGAGAGCTTCATAATTAATTGTCTGTTCATCAATATTCACCAGTGTGAGTAACTCAGGAGGCACGCAATGTTTGCGTTGAGTAAGTAAAGTGAGTGGAGCTACCCCCGTCACACGATGAGGAGTGCAGTTTAATGCCAACTGGAGTTCTTCAAGCATTGTGTGCCATTCTTCAGTTTCATAGTTTTTGATCATGGTTAAAGCATTTTTTACTGTAGCAACCACGCGTTCCACCTGCCCGTTTGCTCGGCTGACGCCTGGTGCTATTGCATGAATCTCTATACCTATACGATCACAATATATTTTAAATTCGCCCAGAAACTCTCTCCCACCGTCAACGATTATTTGTATTGGAGTGCCAAATAGGTGTACTGCACGCTTCAGTGCAGCCAATGTACCATGTGGATTCTTGTTGGTTGCGTGATATAAGAGCACATATTTTGTAAAAGCATCTACCTGTGACAATTACATACTGTTGGTCGGTGGATGTTCCCAACTTGCCAGTTATATCCATGTGCATTACTTGAAATGCAGTAGTTGGTTTCTGAATCGGGTGCATCTGAGCTTGTATTGCACCGGATGTTCCTTTTGATGTTCTGCAGATCACACAGGTTATCTACAAATTTCCGAATATTTGTGTTCATGTTATTAAACCAGTAGCTGTCCTTAATTTTCTGTAATGTCTTTTCCCAACCAGAGTGTTTCAATGCAGTATGGAATGAGTTTATTAAGCTCCATTGAAGGATTTAGGAACCACTGTACAATGTTTTTGCCCAAAGATTGGATCCTGGACTATTCTTTTGAGAACATTGTCTTCTAGTATGTAGTCATTGCTGGGAATGTCACTGGTCATACTATCCATAATATTTCGTAGTGTTTCATCACGTCTTTGTTCAATTCTTAACCAGTTGAGATCCCTGGTCATTACGTTTACTGTAAGTTCTACTGGGTTTCTGCTGAAGTAGTCAGCGTGTTGAAGTTGTTGACCTTTACGATATTCAATATCGAAATTATAATTTTGTAGAAATGCCCACCAACGGTGGATCCTTGGGAGAAGATCCTTCTTGTTTTTGGAGGTCTGTGATGATTGTAAACTTTCGTCCATAAAGATATTGCCTGAATTGTTTAATTGCTCGAACCACCGCCAAGGTTTCCAACTCGTAAGAGTGATATCGACTTTCAGGTTCAGTGGTTCTTAAGCTCATGAAGGCAACGGCGTGCTGCCGTCCCGCGACAATTTGTACCAGTACTGCTCCAAAGCCCAAACTACTGGCGTCTGTGTACAATTGAATTGGAGCCTCTTCTTGGAAAAGCGTAAGTGTAGGAGCTGATGTCAAACACTGGATAATCTCTTCTCTTGCGTTCTCATGACGTTCATTCCACTCCCACTTAGCTCCTGGTTTGGTTAGTTCGTATAATGGTATTAATTTTCTTGAGAAATCTGGAATGAACTTCCTAAAGTACCCCCGCTAATCCACAGAACTGCCTTACTTATTTTGGTGTTGTTAGTACTGGTGCTTTTACCAGTGCATCTATTTTACGTGGACTTGGCTGGACTTGTCCATTAGACACCACGTTACCTAAATATTCAATTGAGCGCTTGAAAAAGCTGCATTTGTCAGCGTTAATGGAGAAACCAGCATCTTGTAGAGCTATGAGTATGCGTTCAATGTTAGCTAATCCTTCGGCAATATCTCCACATTTGCTTAGGACATCATCCACATAAACTTGAGCTGCATTACCCAACAACGACTTCAAAGCTCTATTAATGCATCGTTGATACACAGAACACGCATTGCTTAATCCAAATGGCATTGTCAAATACTCGTACAATCCATCCGGTGTGACAAAAGCAGTTTTTTCAATTGATGAATCTGCGATAGGTATCTGATGGAAGCCCGCTGCCATGTCCAAAGTCGTAAAGAAATGTCCTTTAGCCAGTTGATCGATTTGATCCGAAATTAATGGTAGTGGGTAATGGTCACGTAACGTGTTAGAGTTGAGTTCTCTAAAGTCTACGCACATGCGGTCATCACCATTCTTCTTTTTCACTAGGATAATAGGACTGGAGTATGGAGACTTACTCTCACGTATAATACCATGCTGCATTAATTCTTTCACTATGGCTCGTACTTTTTCTCGTTCAATGGGACTGAGTCTATATGGTCTTCGTTCTACGTACTTGTCTGGATTTTTTAAACGAATTTCCAAACTTTCCAGTCTTGACACGAGTTGTTGGGTATCCCCTGATAAACAGGTGTTGATACTTATTCAATAGTGTTCGTAACGTTGTGATATCTTCATCATTCGTGAGATCACAGTCCAATTTATCGAAGATCGGGTTCATGTTTTGAACATGATTGATATTCATTTGATGTGTTAACGTTGTACCGCCTGAATTTATTATCATCGTAAGGTTGGTGTTATTTATTAAATTCATTCCCACTAGTATATCTGTAGTCATCTCATAGTCCCGCTATTATGTGAAACTGTAGGTTCAACATTGATCTCATCAATGTTCACAATTGTAACTAGTGTAGCTATAGAAAGTACAGGAAATTGACCAATACCCTTCAGGTAATTAGTAGTTTCAATCCTCTTCCCTGGTAATTGAGCCGCTATGGACTCTCGTATGAGTGAGCATTCAGCGCCACTATCAAAAATCGCCTGAAAAGTCTTCAGCCCAACCGTAACCTTTATAGGAGCTAGTTTTGATCCAGAAATGAAATTAACATTTGATGATGACAGTGAACGTTCTCTCTTGAAACAGGTTTCAAAAGAATGTCCAGGTATTTGGCAAAATGAACAAACCTTTTTATTGTTCTGGTTAGTCATTACCTCTTTGTTATTAATTTCTGTTTTGTTTTGTTCGTGTGTTCAGATTTTGATCCATTAGGTTTTTAGAAGCAATCACTGGTGTTGTGATTGGACCTTTTACAGATTTGACAGGGTAAACCCGAAAGATTAGAATTTGAAAAACGTGGTCTCTTATTTGGGTTTTGATTGCTAGAATTCGAGTGAGAACGTTTCGTTGTTCTTATTGATGATGCAACTAATATTAGTTCAGGTACAGTTTTAGGCTCTTGCGTTTAATAGCTCAATCCGAAGCCTTTCATCGTCTATGCATCCTATTACTGCTTCCACAGCATCTTCATTCGACAACTTGTCTTTTGTGATTCTCCTCCAAAGGACCCAGCTCGAGATAAATATTCAGTAATGTCCTTTGAAGAGTTGTAAACATGTTCTCTGAATCGAATAATGTCTCTGGGAATAACGGCTTTCTGGTTCGAAAGTAGTTATAAGATTGTTGCGCAACTCAGACCATGAAGCTGTTGTTACCATCCAGTCATCAACCCAACAATTTTGCTCTTCCTTTAAGCAGGCTGCCAACCTTCATACGTATGTCAAAATCATTGAATTTATAGGCTTCATAGCGTTATCAATGTGTTGACACCACTCACGTATTCCTAAGTTTGTATCAGGATCAAACGAAGGTAGAAAAAACCTCATTGATGCGTGTTTTCGTTTCTTGGTGTTACTCCAATCGTTCCGACATCTGCTGCATCACTTGCATCATTTGCAAAATAATTGGGGCGGCATATTGTTTGGCCTGTGCGCTGAACAAATTGAACTGTGATAGTTCCTGTTGCGTCGGTATTCCATTATTGCTCGAGGTGTGCATTCCCGGTTGCACATTCCTTGCAACGTCAGGTTGTTGAGCGGAAGTGGCAGAAGATCCCACTTCTGATAACGGATCAGCTGAGCCAGCGTTGTTTTTAAAAATTGTGACATCGGCACAGCCGACGTCACTATCATTATTATTACTATGGTGTTCCATTACTGAGGTAATTTTAAAATAACAAACTCCACTTCAATCAAAAAATCAATTTATAATTAAAGTGAAATAGTGAACACTCGATTCACCTATAATAAATTAATTGTTCACTCCTTGAGTGCTCACAATCGAATGACCGCTCCGCTGCAGCGGGCGGCTTTTTATTAACATGTGGTGGGGCGACCAGTTGAGTCACTTGTTTACGCCGTTCTAAACACGTGTAGCGATGACGTAGCTCATCGCATGTTGTTTTGCGCCGATATATATATAGACAGTTATAAGATCTAATAATAAAAACGTCAACGAATAATAACAATAATTATTATTGGTTTTAATATTCATAATACCTATTTTTTATAATGTTTTATCAGGTGAGATTTTTTTAAATCAAAAAAATCAAGAATTTCTTCGATAATTCAAAATTTCATTCCAATGAACATGCAAAATCAACAATTTCTTATTATTATTTATAAATTATTTTTATTAATAAAAAGTTTTTGTAAGTGTATCAACATTTTTTTTTTCAAATACCATCTTTTAGAGCCTTGTAGCGACATCTGTACCAGCTTTGGCTCACTAGTCACTACTATCTAACCCCTGGATGGGAATGAAATCTGTCAATTGTCAAAGTGTCGAATAGAATTAAAACTTACACTAACCTAAAATAATTGAACAATAAGTAAATACAACAGTCTTATTTTTATTCCATTTGATAATTGAGTAAAATATATCTGGAAGTTGTTTCCTAATCTATTAGCAAATGTAAAGCACAATATCTGCACATAAAAAGAAAAAAACCATTCAAGTTGGATTTCTGTAATTCTCGATCTTCCAAGTAGATTTTCGAGATGTTAGGACTACGAGCATTTATTTGTAACTCTTTACCTCCTGGGCCGCATGTATTCTATCAACAAATGAGGGTAATAATTTAAATTAATTAATTGTTTAAACTTAATAAGTTGTGTAAAGAAACAATGACATATCCAGGAAAAAATCCTGAAGGATAACATTGGGGAATTTTTTTGCCATCATGTTTAAGTTCTTTATAAAACTTTACTACATTTACTTGCTCTTGTTTAACAACATGATGATTCTGATATTTTTCCCATGACTAAATTTTGAGTACAAATGTACTAACATAGTTTTTTTATTTACAGACTACATTTATTTTAAAACGCAAATCACCCCCTCCTCTGCACAAGAAGGGTGGCAAACTGCTAAAATGAGAGCCAGACATTTTGTGTATGATCTTGTACAAGACACTAATGTTTGTAAACAACCTGATATTAAAATAATTTTGAATCAATTTGTAGATGGTGAGTTAGCAAAACAACATCAACATTTAATTCATTTAAGCAATGCTAAGACAAAGTTTCTGGATAAGATAATAGGGAATATGCATGTGACTCCAAAATGGACAAAATATTTTTATTTGCAAACTTTATTGAAAAAAAAAACATTCCTAAACAATAATTTTTGAAAGAGGAATTAACACTTTTGGTATCGCTGACATGTTCGTTGTGCTTCAAGTTTAAGATTTTAAGAATTTCTGTTTACATTTTATAAGATTTAATCTGATAATAAAAATCCATACTTCGAAGAGGAAAGTCAAGAGCAATAGTAGATTCTAGTTTGGTTTTCTTCAGTTTCTTTTTGTTACAACAGTGTGGGAAGTAGTACACATATATTTTAGAGGTAATTCAATTGATTTACTACACAAGTATCAACATTAATATTTAATGTTTGAATTCTGTGTATGTGCCAGGTCCAGATCAAATCATCATTCACAACAAATATTTAAATTCTACTAAAATGATTTTATAAGGGAACTAGATAATTTGACATGATACCATTGTTGTTGCTTATTTATATCATAAGCAAGACTATGTTAAATACCTAAATCCGTAAATATTTTACTTTAAAAAGTGATTGTGAGATACCCTTCATACCCAAATGGAACATTGTCATAAAAGGGTTTTTTCTTTTCATTTTAACAATAATGCGGGTTTTGGGAAATAAAGGCGATTTTTTTTTTTAAGCCTACTCCACAAAAAGTTTTACAGAGAAAACCTTTTCCCGGGGGTTTTGGTGTTTATCAAGTGCTAAAAACCCTTGAAAAGTCAAAGTAGATGGAGTAAACCAAAAAAACTGAAGAAAATTTAGCTCACCATATGTCGAGAGTAAGTTAATGTAACAACTAACAAGATCCTTTTTTTTTTTTTTTAAATTAATACAATAATAATTTTTTTTTTATTGTTTTTATATTTTTTATAAATTTGATGCAAAAATCCTTTAACTTTTCGTGAGAGAGTTTACGAGACTGACACTTTCAAATTTGGGTAGTACAAAAGTACTTCCAAATCATTATTACTACCCCAAAAATCATAAGTGTTATAAAAAAGTTAGACTATTTTTCAAACTTATTTTTAATACAAAATTATTTTTTTCTTTTTGAACAATGGGTTGTTTGTCAAGGCGTTCTACAAAAAAACCATGAATAACTAGAGCCCTTTGGGCTTTAACCAGGATTGTCTTCATTTCGTAAATCGGGGTTTTTTTTTTCCTGAAATATCTATTGAAATGCCTCCTTTGGATAAAAGACCGATCTATCATGCAAGGAAGGAATTTTTTTGTTACTGTTTTCAGTAAGCTACATTTTATAAATCTAATCGTAATTAAACTTTCCCTTTCATTTGCTTAATGCTATTTTTTGATATTATATTCTATTTTTTTGGGCATGGGGAATTTTTAATAGATAAAAAAGCTTAAAGATGCTTGAGACCCAATCCCTTCTGACTCACCCCACTACCAAATTTCACTACCAGTAGTCATGGGGAATATTTTTTCTCTTCTGCTCTACTAACCAGTAATGTCATGGCAATCGAGAGACTTTCATACTCCTTCTGACCCATCGCACTACCAGATTACAGTACTAAAAAATAAAAAAATTGGTAATAAAAATTTGTCATCTCTTTGATACTACTTCCGATTTTTTTATTATTAACTAACTAGCCTTCTACTAAAAGGCCTTTTATCCAGAAATTGATCAGTCATTTTATGTTTTTTTTTTATATTCTTGGCTAACACATTATAATATAAAAAATAATAACACGTTAAATAGCTAACACATTCAGTGCTACCGACTCGTTAATTTTATTCCAATGCTTGCAACTCTTATGGCGTTATTCTATTCAAAATATAAATTTAAAATGAAAATTCATCTACATAAAGGTGGGTCGCTAGACGCTCGTGTACCTACGTGTTGACTGACAGACCTTTTACATGATACTCGATCATGGAAACGTGAACAAAAGATTATGTTTGCCAGTAATTGAATATATCAAAATAATCCAACGGAACGGAAAACTACGTTCTAGAAAGTGATCGTTGCAGGCTCGTTTTAAGTCAACACGACGCTGCGAACGACGACGATCAGAACGGCTCTGCTCGTGTTCGGCTCGCCTAGCGTACACCTACCAGAATAGCTTGGATACTACTTATATTATAAACCTAAAACAAAAAGAAAGTGACACAATCTTTATTTATTACGTAGGTTATTACGGTTTTTTTCAACAGATTTCTGAGTGTATCGTCAATAGTTTCCAATAGTTTTTAAAATTTAATATTTGCTTTACTACTATAGTAGAATTATTTTCTCCGTGCAGTTTGGGTCATAAATAGTCGGAGCGGTAAAGCGAGTATTTCGTTCTCTTCTTCCACTCACGAGCCTTATGGGTGGGCATAGTGATGCGCATTATTCTTGTCGATAAGCGTTATCGATAGTGTATTTAGTTTTGTCATTTTGTGGTTTAGTGACAAAAATAAAATAAAATAAGATAAAACAACGTATTTATTAAAATAATAATAAAAGATAAGATATAATCTTGTAATAAAAGAATAAATTATTGGTATTTATTGTTATAAGTACAATAGTTAAGAATGTTAAAAAGTTATGTTAAGAATAAATATAAATACTTATACCTATATTTAAAATGAAAATATTATTTTTTATAAATTCTGCCGTTTTGGTACAAAACAAGGAGTAGCCATTGTGTCACTAAGAAATTCAGTAGAGCGAATGCACAAAAACACATTTCTCTTGACATATGTAATATAATTTGCAGTGGGGAACAACAAATGACTTATAACATAACAATGTCTCACCACCTTTGTATACCGCTCCGCCGCCGTGTACCTGCCTTTGATGACTCATTTGTTCTTATCGATAGTGGCGTTGCGCCCGCGCAACATGCTCACCGCCCTAGCCGGGCCGGGGCCGAGCTATGGTTTATGACCCAAACTGCACGGAGAAAATAATTCTACTATAGTGAAATAATTTTTAAAATAATAATTAATAGTTTTTGAGTTTATCTATTACACACAAATATACAAAATACCGGTAGATTGCCACAATTTCAATTGTTATTATTTTTTTATCTATTATTGTTACATTTATGTATCCAGAGATTGAAGATATATCAATGTCCCATGAAACAAAAACCCCCTTGCCAACCCAAAATATGGGTCAAGGTGGCAGCTCTAAGTAACTTTTGATAAGCCCATCTGGTTTAACCAAATCTTAGAAAAATTTTATTACGAAGAAAGAATACTGAGTTTGATACAAAATCTTTAGTAATTTTTTTTGGGGTTATTTTGTTATTTAATTTAAAATTTCAGTTTAATTATTTTAATTTTTTAAAAAACGGGATGCCCAAAGTTTAATAAAGGAAACGTGAGTTCGTTTTCTTTTTATATTAATTTAGGTCGCATACGGGGGACTGAGATGGCCCAAAAAAACGAAAAAAATCACAATCAAATTTACCACAAAAAAACCCCCACCATTACAACGTGGAGATATTGAATCATGTTCACAATGAACCCAAACCGAACTAAGGGGTAATTTATGAAGCTTGCAAGCACCTGTGTACCTACTAGTAACCCCAAAAACCATTTTTTCCAAACCCGAGTGGGGCATATGTGAAATCTCCCGGGAAAAACTTTTGATAATGCCCCGAATTAATTTTTTTTTTAAAATAGACTCGAAAAACATTTAAATACACAATGTAATGATATACACGCATCGCCTTAAGCTGCTAGTGTTTAAAAAATAAAATAAAAATAAAAACAATCACATTAATGATACGAATAGAATAGTGATTCTTCAGAGTAAAAAATGCGTAGAAAACCCGGGACAAATTGTCAACCACCTTTTACCTTACAAAACTGCAAAACAGCGTATAAAAATCAACTACTTCATCCATTTTTTATTTACTATCCACTTTTTTTTTCTTGACCAAAACCTAATTCTAAACTACAGCTATTAGGATAGCTATATTAATACACAGGTATTGCAAATGCCTCAGTTTTACTGCGATATTTTATTATAAAAAATATGGAAATTACTTTGCAGTTTAACAAAAAGAAAAAGTTAATGTAAATGTAAAATTCATCCGGGGCTACAGGTTTAGACAGGTTTCATGGGAAGAGTTTCATTGGAAAAACCGAAAGAAGCTCCATCCCAGAAAAGCAGCTTTTTAAAAAGTATGCCTCTTCCACAAAATAAAATAAAAATGGATCTATTAACTATCTTGTTTTAGGATACTTGATTTTGAAAATGTTTTTAAAAAAAAATCTATACCAGCAATCGTTTTATTTTTAAATAAAAAATTAAATATGACGCAAAAAGGGGGGCTCTAAAAAAAATTACTAAATTTTTTTTTTTACTTAATCTTTGATTTAAATACATTTAAACTGTTTCCCAAAGCAAATTCATGGGATTTATTTAAAAATAAAACAATATAATGGGAAAAAATTTCCCTTTCAAGTGACTTTTTTAGTCTGTCCATTCATTTATTTTTTTTGATTGAGGAGTATCTATGACGAGTTATTATTAATAAACTTTTTAGTTTTTTAGCGCGGA